CCTGTCGGCGAGTGAAAAATCGGGCTAAAATCGTGCAGTGTGAACTCGGCATTAGGTTCATTAAAGGGCATACTTGAGACATTTTTTATCAATTTAATGTGTCCTTGCTGAATAAAAAAAAAATATATATTTTTTTTATTAAATCTTACAATCCCACACTTTTGAACAGTGGTGTGTCCTGTTGCTGCCACCATTTTATAAAAACAATAAGGGTTAAAGGGGATTTTCTTTTCTATTCATGCCTGAAAACACCTCTTTCCCATGATTCCCAAACACAATAGAAGCAAAACGAGTTTACCTCAGTCAATCGTCTCCTGCTTTCTGGTTTAACAGATCTTTCCGCATTGCTATGAGCTAGCAAACAACATGTTGTTTATTCTGTCTAAATTTGTCTTGTTTGTAAAAGATCATAAAGAAGCTCAGTGACAGATTCTACTGTTTACACCACGGTCCACCAACACTGTTTTTATAATAAAGAAGTTGTCTCACATCATGCTTCTCATACCAATTTATTTTTAATGCCACATTGTGTATGCATAGATTGTAGGGAGTGATTCTAGACTTCTAATGATAAATAGCACAGTGGTGCAGACCCTTATGAAGATAGCCAAAATAAACTGGTTGGTTTACAAATGACTGTTGAAGTAGTGTGTAACGTCTGCCCAGTAATATGTTTTCATCTTCCCAGTTGTTTATTCATATTTGTGGTGCACTGTAATATCAGATACAGTATGAGGAAATGCTCAGTGAGAAGTTAAATACAGGAAACTATCTTATACTTAAAAAATTGTGTAGGATTTACTTTGAAACAATTTTCACTTAGAAATGGTTAAATTTCACAAATGATTACAAATAAACAGCAACACATTAAATTAAACTTGAAAATTTGACGACTAGAATAGTATAGTCTTGTAAATTGTACTCCAATAATTGTTTTATTTAAAACCTTGAAAAAAAAACTTTTGACAGTATATATTTCATATCAAATTGTTCTCAAATGTCAATTTTGAAGTACTGTAAATGTCACTTTTATGGAATCAAGATCACATACAGATATTACATTTTTAGTTTTACCTTTGTGCTTGTGTAAAATACAAATTAAGAAAATAATTTTAATATAGCTAAACCATATTCATGCTTTGTAAAAGTTTTTTATTGTAAAAAAAAATTGTAAATAAAACAAAATACTATTGGAGTATATTTTAAAATAAAATACCATTTCAATTTTCAGTAACACTTTACTTAAAGCCTTTATGTATAATGCATTATAAAAGTAGCTCTAATGCATTAATTATGCCTTGTAATGCACCTATATACTGCATTGTACACTATGCATTTTAAATTTGGTTGTAATTTTATACAACAAAATAATGTATTACAACACATTTAAAATACATTATACCCTTTATAATGCATTATACATTAAGGCTTTAAGTAAAGTGTTAACCAATTTTTCTACTATAGAATTCCACATTTAATTCAGCGTGTGCCTTGCTGTTTGTAATTGTTTCTGAAATTTGCTAGGAATTTGAGTGGAGTGAAAATTGTTGACTTTTGGCTTTTAAAGGTGAGATGTGTAATTTTTTATCATTAGACACGAGATTTTAAAAGCACTGACGATGCAGAATATTGAATCCGACAGGTTAAAACAAGACCACAGAGTTGAAGTACAATGTTCTGATCTTTTCATTGTATATTTAAAGCTGGCTTCTTATCCTCCACAGCAATGCCCTTCATCATTTCCATGTTGCTGGCCAGTCTGAACAGCTGCTGTAACCCCTGGATCTACATGTTTTTTGCTGGGCATCTCTTTCATGACCTGAAGCAGAACCTGCTGTGCTGCTCCGCGCTCTATCTGAAATCCTCTCAGTGCCGCTGCGATCCGGAGCAAGATTCCCGTAAGAGCAACTCCTCCACCTACGTCATCAAAAGTGCCAGCAGCCAGCGGAGTATCACCCAGACCTCTGTCACATAAACCAAACGTACCTCAAAGCCAGTTTTTCACATTTTTGAAAGCCAGACAGGAAAGCTAGAATATAAACCCACACAAGGCTGCAAATGTCACCATCAGTTTGCTTCAGCTGTGTTTTCGGTTGGGAATTATTCAGAATGTCATTTTCATTACTCTACTTCGTTTTCTTATCTCTGAGGACCTTGAGCAGCCGTAGTCTATTCCTTGCCTTCGTGTATTGTGTTTCTAGACATTACAGAAGGAACATCATTCGATTCCAGACTGTGTTTATGGGTCTGTTTACATTTAGTCACACATCGTTTGAATTGGTATCTGATTGTGTATGCGCATTCGCTTTGGCCACATAAATGTGTCTTGGTGCTGGGCACCAAAATTGGCTGCACTTGATGTGGCTCATAAAAACAGGACGTGGCTGAATTAGCTTTGACGATTGTGGTACAAAAGATAACAACCATAATGTGCTGCATTCTGTTTAGGGCTCACAAAACCTCCGTACGCTGATGTAGATATGTTTAGGAGGAGCAAAGTTTGCATATGTGGCCTGAAGAGCCAGATGGATTTACACTTGGCCGAGTCTCAAACCGCCAGATCGGATTTCTGTCGCTCTTAAGTGTGTCTTAGAGTGTCCAAGTGTAAATAGCCCTGATATGATGTAAACATGCAAAAAACAGTCAACCTTAAAGGGATAGTTTATCTAAAAATGAAACTTTCATTATTTACAGTACTCATCCTCATGTCTCCCCTTCATGAAAAAAGCAGTGAAAAGTAATGCAATTTTGTGCATTTGTGAAAAATCAAGTTTGACATACATTGTATTGAAGATGACAACAGGTTATATCATTTTATGGGTTATGAGGATGAGGAGGTTAACAACACACAGATGAAAACAAGATGTTGATGACACATGAAGTGTTTCTTCTGAAACCTAATGAGAAACATGGCCAGTTGCTCTTTTTAATGAACTTGTCAAAAGAGAGTACTTTGGTTTGTTTTAAGAAACCCAAGCACTTTTCATTTTTGGCACATACATGGTTATGTTGTTATCACTGTTCTTTATCATTTTACATGTAAACTTTACTGTCATGCCCAAAGGACCACATCTCTTTGCGAAATGTTTCTGCAGTGCCTCATGGTAATCAATCATGGCAAACACCCGATTTGTTTTCAAAAAGTGAAGGACTGATTGTTTACTCCTTCGCTTTTATGCTTGTTTGTCTTGTAAGAGAGAGTGTTTGAAATCAATGTTTATTCCAGTTACATATTTTGCTTAATATCGCTCTTAAAACTTTGATTTCAGCCTATGTTTGTTGCTTCATCTTTATAAAATATTCTAAAGAAAACACATTTACAAGAGGACAAGTGAATTTCACATAATTGTTTATGAGTGCTGCAAGATGAGAAGGATAAAGAAAATGATAAAGGCAGTATTAACAGCAGAAAATATTTATTTTATAAGGTTTAAATACACTGTTCACTGAAATGCTTGTTACTTTCCCATTTAAAAAGCTACTGATTTTTCTTCCTGGAAAATATACTGCCTATTTACATTCACTCTGTGTAGCTGAAGCTTTTATTTATTGAAATAAATTGTGTGTTGATATGTCTAACGGTGAGGAAATCTGTTGAAAAGTGGAGTATAATAAGCCAACTAAAGTGAGGAGTTGAAAGCAAATAGATCGAATTGCAAAGTCATAATAATCTTGTTTTTTTTTACAGCTGAACCATTTGGTATTTATTAAGGGAAAAGGGAAAAGTGTTTTGATGAAAATGTTCATGAAAACATATTTCATCATAAATTCATGGCATCAGTTTAAAGACATACAATTTATTCAATGTCCTATATTCAGTGACAGAATCGGGGACATAAAATTTCATGTTTAATTAGTTGTTGTAGTGTAGAAAATCAAGAAAAAAAAATATAGGCCTATATATAACAATAAAACACAATTCAAACCATTATTATTTAAACTTAAATTTTTAATTAGTAGTTGTACAGAATATATCTGACATTGTCATGATAAAAATACCACACTCAGCAACATCCCATTTTAAATCTGTCAAACTTAAAGAGAAAAACCACATGATATCAGGTAAGACTTATTCTCCATTGTCGGTCAGAGAGGCCTTGCATCATACGTCTCTCTGAAAAAGCAGGTGGCCTAATCCTGAATTGCTCCCAAAGCCTCTAACATAAACTGAGAACATACAAAACACTGCATGGGATTAACCATCTGGGGCATTCTATTATTCATGTAGTCTTTTCATTTTTAGGGACCTCAAAATCCACACTCCAAAATTAGATATTTGTAAAATAAAACATTTTCCTCCAAGGACTGAACATGTAAACCTTGACTTGTCTAAGAAATCTAAACCTCTTTGCGTAACGCCACCCGTACACTGCTGAAGATTTTCCCTAGGGCTTCGAACAAGGGGTCACAGAAGGTATGGATGCAGAGAGAGTAGATTCGACTCAGGCACTGGGTCTCGATCAGATAGCTCTTAATGCAGGGCATGACTGCCCAAATGTGACAAAAGGAGATGCAGGCAAAAAAGAAGCCCCACAGCAGCGCCACTGGGATACCAAAGATGGCCGACAGCACACGGTAGCACCAGTACTTGGAGACGGTGAAGGTGGTGTAGCTGGCCTTCCACACTCCATCCATACTGTGGGTGCCATCAGGCTCGGCTATAACATCCTCAAAATCCACCTTGATTTATTGGAGGAAAAAAGACATGGTGACATTTGCTGGTTAGTACAAATTTCCACAAACCACCCTGTTGAAAAAGCCAGCATATGCTAGTTAGGTATGTTCTGAAGCATGGCAGCTGGTTTGAGCTGGTTTAAGCTGGTCATGTGCTGGTCCTGGTTGAGCAACTAGCTCCTGCTCAGGACCAGCTCATGACCAATTAAGGACCAGCTTAAACCAGTTCAACCAGCTGCCATGCTTGTGTTGGTTTTTCAACAGGGCAGGGATTTGTTGCCAAAACCTGCTTAGTATATTGTGCAATCAATAGTCAGTGTCAGTGATTTGGCAAGCATGTGGTATGGGTTCTCTTCTGCTTGTACTCCTAAAATGGATGATGATTAATTCTCCAAACAGCGACATTTGATATCAAAATCCCCCATCAGTAGAAGGCAGTCTGGCACCTTGTTTATTTTTGCTTCAATCTCATAACAACTAGAGAGTATTTAGAAGGAAGTATTTCAGAAAGTTATTTCAAATCTTTATGTAACATCTATATAAGTGCTGAAATAAAAATCTGATCTTTGGTAAATATGCAAAATGCAGTTAAGACAAGTTTAACGTAGCATTGACAACATTTGAAATTAAACCCAATTTCTTGAATAAGACAGAGATGATTGGAAATCTAAAATTACAAAAATTAAATAAAATCATATAAAAATGAACAAAAAAAAAAATACAAATAAATAAATATGAAATTAACACTTTTATTCAGCAGGGATGCATTAAGAAAAAGTGACAGTAAATACTTTTACATTGTTACAAAAAATTCTGAACTTTGTATTCTGTATCGTGGATTTAAAAAAATATATAAATAAAATATAAAGCAGCAAAACTTTCAACACTGATAATAATAAGTATTTTTGAGCACCAAATCAGCATATTAGAGTGATTTCTGAAGGATCATGTGACCCTGAAGACTGAAATATTGGCTGCAGAAAATTCAACTTCGCAACCACAGGAATTAAATAAATTACATTTTAAAATATATTCAAATAGAAAACAGTTATTTTAAATTGAAATAGTATTTTTGATCAAATAAAAATGCAGTGAGCAATACTTTAATATATATAAAACAAAGCATTAACACCAAAAGCTATTTCTCACCTATGCATATTTCTTGTGAACGAACGTAATATCACTAAGACCTATTGTAGTAACAGTGTTGCTAACCATTACAGTGATCTTACACTCACATTCAACAGTGAAAGAATACCAGACTGTAATTTATGATTTGGACATAGATCAATAGTCAAAATTAAATGACACAATTTCCCCTACTAATCTAGTGAATTATTAAAACACATGTGAAGAAGCAATACATTTTGTTGTCTGACACACCCTTTTACCTCCTTCTATAAATACTGATAGTATGGCCTGTTCTGCCAGATGAAGTAGGTTTAGTGCTATTTTTGGGTCATGCCTTGTAGCTACAGCATAAAGTGTTGTGCAGCTCACACGCAAGCAAGTCCGTCTCTAAGGACCAGATCGCCAATCCACTCGTATCAGTTCCACAATTTAGGAAGTTAGTGAATAGTTTGCATGCTTTATCAGTTTCTTATAAAGTTATATGTACATATTTCTGTCAAATATATGCTTATTGGGCTATTTTGGCTTTTAAACAAGTAATGTAGTTTTATCAGCTTATACAAATACTTTCAAAGTTCTCTTTTGTTTAAATGGCATTTCAGTTGAAATTATCATTAAGGTTTCAGTGTCAAATTTTGTAACACCAGAACTACTGTAAAACCAAAAAATTCCACATACCTTCACAACATCTTCATTGATCTGCTTAGGGTCCCTGTTGATCAAATCAATCTCCTTGGTGTGACTATCTTTCAGGATTTTCTCCTCATTGGTGCTATACTGGTCCGCCATATTGGGGGCCTCTGGCCCAAGACTGGTCGGAGTGGGATAGATGTAATGCAGAAGTGTCCGAAGGAAGAAGAGTAAAGCAAACTAAGTCAGCGACCAAAGGAAAAGTGTCAGAATGGCCCCACAGTCCCTAGTCCCTTTTAATTCTCCAATCTGTGGACTGACGACACGCCTGGAATGCTAGGGACAGCTGCGCCGGCCGGGGCTCCTGTCTAAAGAAGGGTCCTGTCTCTCTCTCTCGCTCACGCTGACTGTCTCACCCTACTGTATGTTACCACTCCTCTACCCCCACCCATTACCTATTCTGCCCCACACAGCCCATACTCCCCAGTCCATAACTCACACACTTGGTAAAAGCACCTCTTGAAGGGAAACCAGGGGCCGTGTCACATTTCACACACGGCTGCGGGGTCAGCCAGGCAGGAGTTGCACAGTGGCATGAATTTCCACTGTGAAGTGTTGCTCTGAAAACTAATGCCCAAAGGCTCAAGTCAAGTCAGAAGTATAATACTTCTTTACAATACAGAGTGCCATTTTCAAAGCATTAATATTAGGTGCATTAAACTATTCTGTTTTAGTGTTATTTTAGCATTGAGATACTGTTTTAGCTTAAGTTTAAAATGAAAAAAGTGGCCTTGGTCAGTAGCTGAAAAAAAAAAGTATTTATTATCTTAATTTCAGTTCATATTTATTGTATTTCACATAAACATGTTTTTATGGTTTTAACTTTAGTTAACAATCAATATCCTGTTCTATTCAAATAATGTCTAACACATACTTCAAATGTTGCCTTAAAATCATAAAAAAAAAAGTATTATTTCCAAAATATCCAGGTCCTTTCTTATTCATTAGTCACTATTTTAAAATAAAATAAAATAAATGGTATATTGTCCTGCTAAGCATAAGACAGAAAGATGTGTATTATGCTCTGGGATTGAGATAAAAAACAAAACTAATTTCTTTTTTTGTGAACTTTTCGGGGTTTCATTGAGGATAAGTTTTGCTGCTAAAAACGGATGTTTTTTATTATTATTTAATAACCACTAATTATGTAATTTCAGCTTTTGTGTAACTATGCAGTTACCATCCATCCCTTTTCATTATGACTACTCTCTTTATAATGAATGACACTACTAGAACATAATAAAAAGGGGTTTTGAACATTCTTTACTCAGATGTGCCAAAAATAGGAACAGGGGGCTGTAAATGTGCCAGAGGTGTGTGTGGTATGTCTTTCTGCTAATTAGAGAAATATTCTCAGTGCTCTGTGAGCTGGGATGGGTTCAGGTCCTGAGGGAGAGAGGCACAAAAATACCCCACCCAGACATGCCTGTCTACTATTTATATCAGTGGGATTGTTTATAACAGTAGGGAGTGAACCATCCTTGTCTTTACTTACATTAGATCCACAGGCGACTCTACTCTTGACTACATTAACAAGTACTCATTTAAATCCAGAGTGAAATTTGAAGCGGAAGAATATTTAAACATGCGAGCCAAAATTAGAAGCTGGCTGCTGTACTGATATGCAAACCTCATGCTTGAAAAGATCTAGTTAAAAGTATTTGTTTTCAGCAGCCAAAGCTGAGTAATCACCACTGTTTCTAAAGCAGGTGATTAGGTGAAACCTATTCACAAACTCTTCAGCTTTTTCCTTATGAGACGTATTGTTTTTATTTTATTCATTCTTAAATGCTTGGGAGGAATGTTGGCAATGCTCATTTATCACCTCTTCCAGCAATTTTGGTGTCTCAAGTGTGAACCAGTGAATTGCACTGGCTCGTCTTTATACATAATATCTCATACAGTGTATGGTACAAATGATGACTACTATTAAAAAGGTGACAAAGAAAGTAGACGGGATGAATGCAAGCATCATTGGTATGCAAATGTGCCTTTTCGAGACTGATCGTGTATCTGTTAAAAAGGCCATCATAGAAAATGATAGTCTTCTTTAGTCATGTAACAGTCAATCAGAGCATGCACACTCACAATATCATTCATCCCATTTTCACCCCTGGTCAAAAATTGTCATCTATGACAACTCCTGCCGTCTTTGAGTCTTGCTATGCACAATTCCTTTATTTTTCCTTTATTCTACTTAAAGTGTTTACAACAACAAAAATATTTCACTATGTGCACAATTTACTCAACTTTCATTTAATATTCTAATATTCAGAGGCATAATGTAGTTCTAATGCATCTAATCACAAAAAAATAAATGAAAGGCACAAAAAGCCATATGATGTTTTTTAAATGTTAGGCCATTTCATAAATGTGTTTTGTTTTAGCAAATACATGGCAAATATTCAGTATCAAGTTATCATAAAAAATTATGAATGAAATAAAATCCCCAAAAAAGACTATATGATGCTTTTTCAAATAGTTAGTGTTAGACCGTTTCACATATGTATTTTTGTTTTAGCAAATTCATGGCAAGTATTCAGTATTGGAATTGTTATAAATCATAAATTATGAATCATTATAAATCAGTATAAAATGTTAAGACGTTTTTTATTATTACTGCCTCTATTATTATATTTATCATATATATTACTATTATTATCTTAGTAAGCCTTACACATTCATTAGTCAGTTTACAACTTCTGTATTACAAAAAAATCGTATCCTACATTACAAGTGATCAGTTCAACTCTATTATATTGCTAAGATTAGGTACTCCGTACTTTGGCATGATGAAAAATGATGAAATAGCAAGAAAGTCACAATATCATAGTAATATATGATGACAGAATATATATACTACTGATCAAAAGTTTGAAATAATTATGATTTTTTTTTTATGTTTTTCCAAGAAGTCTCTTATGCTCACCAAGGCTGCATTATTTTATTATAAATACAGAAAAATCAGTAATATTGTGAAATATTATTACAATTTAAAACAACTTTTTTCCATTTGAATATATAAAATAATTTTACTTCATTAAAATATATTCAAATAGAGAACAGTTATTTTAAATTGTGATAATATATCAAATACTATATTTACTATATATATATATATATATATATATATATATATAAAGCCCTCAATTTAAACAAGTAGGCTTCAAATATGCTGCAATTGCATGTCAAAAATCATATGAAACTGAAGAGACATTTACTTGTATATGATGTACATGATGTCATTTTAAGAATCCCCTTGCCCTTCAAAGCTGATTTTTTTTGTTCTGAAATGCGGTTAATATTTTTCCAAACAGATTCTGATGAATCCACATCACTTCCCAAAACTTCTGAATAAGGGGGAGATTGCAATGTTCAGCACATTATGCCAGACCACCTTTATCCAGTGCAGGTTAATGACCAAAATCTGCACACTGGGAACTATCAGCCTAAAAAGGAGAGAAGGCAGATAAGTCATCAGTAGCTTTCTGGTCTTCTTTTAGACTTCAGTACAGTTTTTGACACAGCTGACTACATTTTCTTGGCTGTGCTTTGGTGTCAGATAAGCCTTTATGGCAAATATATTGATTTACTTGTCAAACCATGCACTTTTAAGTGCACTTGGCAATTACTGCTCCTGGAAAAACTACATCATATGTGATGTTCCACAGGCTCTAAAACCAGACCCACATGATTCAAATGAAAATTAACAGGAAATGTACCAGCTTTGTCTATGCTAAATCACAGAGGGAGGTATAGCAGTCACCTCAAATGATCTAAGCTTGACGGATCTCACATCTGCTCTGTCACTAGTGTAAGTGTGCTAATGGCCTTAAACTTTTTAAACATAACAGCGACTAGTGTAATAATATCACATTCAAAAGGTGAAAAACATCACACACTCTGAAAGCTGTTAGGGATGAGGTTTAATTTTTGACAGGCTTAAAAGACATGGAAATGTTACTATAGTAACCATTGATTAAAATACAATGTTTATCTGTGTTATTTTCTTTTGCTTATATGTGCACAGGCAATACTTAATGAGGTTTTATATGAGCTCATGAACTATCAAAAAATATTTTTCACAGTATTAAGGTTTATTTATTTACATAAAGAAACATTTATTTAATGTTAACACTTTCAATAATAATAATAATAATAATAATTAAAATGAATTTTAATAAAAAAAATAGTACATGGAGGAATTAGGATTAAATAAGGTTAATAAATACAGTAAAAGTTCAAGTTATCCATTGTTATGTTAACATTAACTAAAGTAATACATGGTATAATTTAATATATAACTACGGTAGTTATTACAGGTTGATTTTGTCACATTGTTGCTTTTTTGGTATTTACTGTGCATTCACACGTGACTCACCAAATATGTAGACAGCTGAGGACAGCAAAGAGAAGACCTGCAACCAGCGCCACTGGCACCGCGAGCAGCAGCGAAACGATGCGGTAAAACCAGAGTCTGGACACCTCAAACAGAGCATGACTCTCCACAGTCACACCTTATCACAGCTCCTCACTGAAGCCGGCCTCGCTATCACATCCTCAAAGGTCACCTGAGTAGACACATCATCAGGAAAGCTATTTTTAGGCCGCCATAGCTTTCGACCTATTACTTTTCCTACCAGCTTTTTGATAACCGGTTTACTCTGAGTGAATTAAAACCTGTGTGTATTTATCTTTGCAAGTCTTGCAATACCATTATTTAACATAAGAGGGCAGTGTAGCATTACTAACGTAGTAGCGCCCGCTGTTTATAATTCAGGTGTAAATTTGTATAACAGCAGCTCACCACAGGCTGTTTTAAGAAACAGCAATACTGAAATACACTCAGGTAAGTTTTAAGCATGTAATGTAATTACGATAGACTTTAACTGAAAAATGTAACGGTTACTTTCATAAATACCAGATTGAGACAAGCTGTCCTATTTATACCCTTGGTTTTATTAAATAACCATGGTTTTATTGTAGTAAAAGTGTAGTAACCATGTTTTTTTGTTTGTTTTTTTGTTTTTGGCATAATGTATATATATATATATATATGTGTGTGTGTGTGTGTGTGTGTGTGTGTGTGTGTGTGTGTGCGCGCGCGTGTATATATATATATATATATATTAATACTGTATCTAAACAGAGAAAAGGGTCTAAATGGGACCACCATCAGTCTGGAGAAACCTCTCATTTAGTACACATACAAATGTCTGTAAGCCTGAAAAGTCTGCACTGTGTTGATTGTATGACCCACCTTAAGACACTTGTTGATTCCCTTTGGGTCCCTGTCCTTGATGAGTGCCTTTGTGTTACTGTGAGTAGCCAATGAATCTTGTCCTTTTGTTTGTGCTTCTGTAACACCAGGAGTATCATTTGGATTAATTTCACGCTGCTCCAAGAGTGAAGACACCACCTCCTCCTCTTCACTTATCTCCATGTCTATTGAGATGTCCTTCAGAGGTCCAGTGTGTGCAGTAGTGTGTGTGTGTGTGTG